CCAGTTGCTCCTTGAAAAAGTACATTTTTGGCAGTGTTTTTGCTGTATTTTTTGTTGTGAATGCGAAGTGTATCCTTTTCTTTCTGTTTATCCTCCTTTCCCATTGTCTGTATCCTCCTTTGTGTGTTATCTGGTAACTCTATACAGGAGATGCAGGTAAGCGACTCAGGAAAAAGTATTTCTTAAGTATTCCATTTAGAAACTATTTCATTTTGGACGACAACTGGAACTGGAGTTTCTGTCACTAAGCTATGCAGTTGCAAAATGCAACAGCACATGACCGCATTGTTTAGTGACCGCAATATCTGCAGTCCCATTGCTCTCATTAAACAGGGATCACGAGTCATGAAGTGCCAATTTCCAACAACCAAAGCAGGCTGCAGGCAATAAATGGCTGTATCAGATGGGAAAGGGAACGAGGAGGTGCACAAGTGGCAGGGAAGGCATGGCGCAAGCATGGTGGGGTTTGGGTGACTGTGAGAGAGTGAGTGAGAGCGGGTTGTATTGCAGCACCTGCTTCGTCAGTTGCTCCATGCCCTGTAGAACCCTTTAGTTGAATGATTGCAATCCATGTTCTGCAAACAACTATTATAGCCCATATATGCTGTTGGAAGTATTTCATGTATCTTTCATGCACCTTCTATCCAGGTGGGTGTGTCCCCAATCCCCAGACTGTGGCCTACTATTAGGCTGTGGCCCGTTCAGAACCAGGTTGTGAAAGTGGTGAGTGAACATGTACACGTAGCTCCATTAGTGTGAGTACTGGGCGTGCACACTTGTGCATGAAACTCCATTTGTGTAAGCGGCAGGTACGCGCGCCCATTGCTTGTGCAAATGAAGTTGTGTGCAATGACACGTGCGCCTGTCATTCACACAGAACATCCCCTCTTCCCCTCCTGACTGCCAAGCCAGAAAGGTTGAGGACTGCTGTTCTAAGGTTTTCCACACTGGAAGACAACACAATAGATTTTCTTGAGACACATTGTGATTTCTGGACCATTTTGAAGGCATTCTGTCTGTTAGAAATGTGCTTCTTTTAAAAAATGCAACCGGTATTTTACATTTTCAGAATATTTATCACACGTACCTCCCATATTACATTATTATTTTAAAACTCTTCACAAAAATACTACATTTGACCAGATTTTAATGCATTGGAATAATTCCAATAGTCCAAGCGTTAGTTTATTTCACTTATCAGTACAAAGAAGGAAAAGGGGGAAGAGTAATCAAGCAATGTAGATTTTTTCAGTGAAGAATTCCTAGATGAAATTATAGGGCTATAAAAATGCCCTACAAACACCTTTTTGGCCTGTATAAAGCAGGTTCCAGTTCAAATAGGGAGACTTTGAGACACTACACTTTCTACTTAGGAAATTCTTACTATCATTCAGTGCATTGCATAATTCATCACCTGATTAAAGCATCTGGGACGGTTTGTATCCCAAATGAACAGTAATGAAGATTTGGTTGCCCAAACATTAAGTACTTTTTGTCTGACAATTCAGGTGTTATTTTGATCTATTTCTCAGTTTAAGGTATTTTTTAAATAATACAAAAACAAACATGTGGGCAAACTATTTACAAATCTCCTAGCTGAAGTAAATTGTCTACAGCAGGATCTCCAGTGCTTGTTGCATCTTCTCTTGCATTGGCTGTTATTAAAACAATATAAAACCTGTCCTCTTGTCATTTTGACGTAGTACAGGTAGCCGTCAACTTACAGCAATTCATCTAGTGACAGTTCAAAGTGACAACGGTAATGAAAAAAGTGGCTTCTAACCATTTTTCACACTTATGACCATTGCAACATCCCCATGGTCATGTGATCAAAATTCAGACCCATGTCCACTGACTCATTTTTATGACAGTTACAGTGTCCTGGGGTCACATTTTGTGGGATTTCTGACAGTCAAAGTCAATGGGAAAACCAGATTCACTTAACAACCATGTCACTAAACAACTGCAGTGATTTCACTTAACAACTGTGGCAGGAAAAGTCATAAAATGGGGCAAAATTCACTTAACAAATGTCTCAGTTAGCAACATAAATTTTGGGCTCAATTATGGTTGTAAGTCAAGGACTCTCTGGGGCCCTAAATGATGCAACTTGCCAGTAAGGATCCTGGCTAAGTGATATTTCAAAACCAGCAAGAATGAATATTCTCTGTATCAGTGTCGATCACAAATCTTCTTCGCTTATCTTCTCAAATACACAGTCATCTTCATTTGATCTACTACTGTGTAGCCATTTTCTTGACTTAAAACCAGAATGAAATATCTGTAGAGAATAAAAAAATATGATCCGTTAACCAAAAAAATAAAAGTATTGGGAGAAAAAAAAGTGATACCAAATTTATGATTAAGAGAAAGAATTTCACGTTGAGCTTAAGTTTAAATTTAAACTAATAAAGAAAAAAAGAATTTTCAGGGGTCTGATCCAGCAAATGCTGTATGGCTATCACTGCAGCAAGTAAATTTAAGCATGGCAAACAATATCATATTATACTAAAAAGATAATAATATCCATCTAACAATAAAGTGTATTTGTTCTTGTGTTTCAAGTATCCCCTTCTGGCATTTAGGCACTAAAGAAGAAAGAATTGTAGATGGAAAAAAACTTGTGATGCTATCAGAAATTTGAAGCAGTTTGATTTGAGTCAGCAAATGCCCTAATAAATTCAGCCCCTACGTTTCATTAGCAATGAAGTCCCACAGACTATTTGCAGTAATCCTGTGTGGCAAATATTTTAAATTTGGGGGTTGCACTGGTGTCCACAGAATCTTTGTGGCTGCCCGGTGAATTATGATCTGCAATAGGCTAC